ACTTCACAGACCCAACCCGTTCAAGCTCAGGGGTCGCCTGTGTCGCACGATGGATTTATACTCTCCTACCACTTTTGTGTGTCATCCAATAATCTTGGTCCTGCATCGCATGGACTCCTGGTATCGTAGTGCCCTCGATGGGTTCAAGGGGTTCCCTCTGGCAGGAGAAGTTGACACTGGTCCTAGTACAGCAATGCTATAACAATCAGGCAGGTTCAAACTTGATAGATTTACTATGTAAACCCTTGTGAATAATTATGTATACGAGAATGACGCATCTATACCTTGTAAACTGGTAGCAGCAGAGTATGGAGGGATCATACCCATAATGCGTACGTATGAATATTAATTACACGATGGGTGACAAAGCTCAGGACCGCATCAGACGAGAGGAGGTAGGTAGTCACGAGCCGAATAAACGTCGAGCCCTTAATCCCTTTGCTCTCTCGATCCTTCCGCAGCCGCGTGAGAGGTTGACGTCGACTTTGACAATTAAATTTTATCCAGAGAAAAATACGGACGGTGAAATTAATTGGCAGCACCTCTTGGCATTGATTCTTTCGTTCATCGTTCCTATAGCCACAGCTGTAACGATATTTATCATTGGAACATTCTTAGGTTACGTTCTTATAGAGTCTGGAATGATTGTGATTATTATTTTCAAGTACAGTGAGACTTTATGGTACAGTCAATAGATAGAAAATTTCAGTACACACGTATTGATATTCTACAGTCAGCTAGGCCCAACTTATGGTTAGGTAAGAATGATATAAGATTTTTTTGTAAAAAATATTTTAAAGAATTACAATATTTCATGTAGTATATCCGGCATTACCTTTTTCTTTAAAAATTGATTTTTCAAGCAGTTGTATGCGAACCGTTATACCTCAACGTGAGAGACTGCTGGTACAGTCAGCTTAGTCGAAAGCCCGTAAGGTTTCTTACGGAGAATGTTATCCTGTTAGAAAAGCGTGGGTGGAATCCCGTTGAGGAAACCCTTTGGCATCCCAACCCTGACTGGGAATCCGGGCGGGCGATGACGTAGGCACGTACTTATATATATATATTTATGCATTCGCGATGACGATCTCGACCGAGTCTCGAGCCGTGGAAAACGACAGTTTCCGAAGGGGCCGAGGAGTAACCAGAGGAGCATGACACCCGGTTGGCGGCACCCGGGAGGTTCCCGAGGACGAGTGCTGACCGGACAGAGAGACCAGGAGAAGCGACGCTCTCGCCACCTACTCGAGGAAGCTACTACCCTGCTTCGAATATGTGAATATATTTTATTCAACCCTTTCCCTCGGGGCCTGGATTAAATTATTCCAGTACCAGGGTGCGTGCCAGGCATAGATACAATCCTCGGAGACGAGCATCGTCAAGATACTCGAAGGTACGAGGTCTTTACAACGTAGAGTCAGTGGTTGTCAGACATTCGGCACGTATGTTTTCTTTGGCTATTTAGCTGCGACCAGGGTAACTCTTCTTCTGGGAGAACTTTTCGAAACGTTAAATCGAAATTGTTCTACCTTCCTTTGTCTTCCTTCTCCTTCCTCTTTGTCGTGCTTTCTCTCTCATTCTACGCTCCGAGCTTACCGGTACAGGGAACTCGCACACCATCGCCTCGAGCACGTACGAATTTCGTATAACCACCGGGCACCTCCTGTTAGCCTGGCACCGGGGGATCAAACCAATAGACTGCCGATAGCCCTTCCAATTATCGGCTCGATTGGAACCCGCGAGTCCAGACTTCTTCTCCCTTTGCTGCTCAAAGTAACAATGAACCGTGAGCGACCTCTTCGACCTTATGAAATATCAACGCTCGCTGCTTCCTGACCTCCCATTCTTTCCTGGTCGGAGCTCGTGTTATGATGCCATCGATCTGACACGTTTCCGGACAGTTCTGACAGCGCGACGAGTCAATTAGTACTCGATTAGACGGTACCGCGGGGTCTGAGTCTCCGTTATACTTATGAATATATCCCGATAGACGCTTGGTTTCATTTTCTAACCATTTTTTATTCCTCGCCAGGCTTCTCGGCCCTACTGGCCGTGTACGTTCCTGGGGATTCTTTTTTTTTTTCGGGCTAACGACCTCACGAATATTAGAATACCTCCTTGGTCGTTATGACGTCCCTGGAACGATGTGTGGCTTCGAGCACTTGAACGCCTCAACCCTTTCTTCGTGTCTTACCTACATGCATGGTTTCATATGTGAATGAGAGGTATTGCTAGCCTGTTGCAATATTCTTTGAATTCTAAGGAGTACTGCCTTATTGGGATTTAAGACGGTATTTTCATTTTCGAATTGATTTGATATGTGGATGAGCTTATACGGTTTGGAGAATTTCTTCTCCTTTTTTTTTTTCTTACTCCGTGAATCGAATGCGATAGAAAAGTTCGGTTTTCCCGTGGACTTCATGCTGCTCTGGTAGTCCCGGAAGGAACCGATTGATTGGAAACGGCCGGAAAGTATTTCACGCTGATTGTCCCTGGATGGCGGGGGGGGGGGGGGGGGCAAAGTCGGAAA